TGCTATTTATTTTGGGCTTGTTTGTCATGTCCACGCAGCCCAAACAGACATGATTCACAGTCCAAAATGAGATTTGGGGCTTTTCTCGTGCAGTTTTAGATCACAGAGGAGAGATAAGTCAGGCTTGTTCCAGATGCCCCCTTCATTACCTTGGCTCATCTCCAGTCTTTCCCTGAATAATGACTTACAGCCTATTCTTAGATAGCTTTTGTACCAGGAGATTTGAATTCCATTTCTTTTTTCTGCGGAGGTATGGTACTTTCTCGGACAGTGTAGATGATGATCACACCCACAGCACTATGGTCTGTCCAGCTCCTAGCCTGAAGCTGATCTCCTGGCCCCAGTCCAGCCCAGAGCCAGTGACTCACCTCCATAAAAGCTCCAATCATAACAGCCAACATTTCCCCTATTTCCTTGATTAAACGTGAATGCTGGCACTGCTCCTATGGCCAAAAAGCCTTTTATTCTTCCCTGCATTTCATTTCACATTCATTCATCCTGATGTTGAGCCGGTTCAAGTGGCTCCGATCTGCAGATTCCTCCACTCAGTGCCATTAGCAATGATGTACTGGTTTCACGTGTCCATTTACTGTCAGTCAAGTATATCTGAGATTCAATAGAGTCTCTTGTTGACCTGCACCACCAATGTGCTGTCCAAATCTAATTATACCCATAGACTGGCAGAGCACCTGAGATCTGAAACCGAACATACCAATCAACTTTGTGACATGAGTGGAGAAAGATTTTTTTTATGCATTAGGTTTATGTTAAGCAGAATTAAGAACTTTAGAACTTTTAAATGTTTTAATCAAGAAAACATATTACATTGAAATTTACAGTTTAGACAGCTTTAGGCAGCTCAGTATAGTTGGATTTCGCAGGCTCGCTAGCTGTCACAAATTGTTCTCTATTGGTTTTCCAAAAGTTTATCTCCAAGTTTATCACTGAATTCAGATTGGATGTGCACTTTTTTTTCCCCAATTTTTCAAATAATACAACTTTACCTCAGGACTTTGAAATTAAATTTGAAGTAGTGAGGTAGAAAGGGAGAGCCCTTCCATCTACAGTTATATTCCAAGTTCGATTTCATATGCAGCACTGGGATTATGAAGAGTGCAAGAGATTCTCACCAAAGAACAAGGGGAGCAAAATTTTATCAGAAATAATATTCCCTGACTTGCCACCCTATAGAATTTCTGAATTGTAACTTGTGCTCGAGTTATCTGCACTTTTAACTCACGCCTTTTATGTTTGCACCAAAGTACTGTAGAGGTGTGTTAAGTGATTGACCTTGGATAGAGTACATGTTGAAGTTTATTTGTTGTAAAATGAAGTGCGACTGTTTAGTGAACTGTGGGCTGGGAGCACACTTTCTCTAATCTGCAGAGGTGCCAGTTCAGGCAAAGTGCTCCAACCAGCTGCACCAACCAAAGCGTGTGAGGAAGAGGAGAGGAGGCAAGGTACATACACAGTTCTAATAGGAGAGATGTGTACATTTGAACTTTATATTGATGGCTTTCAAAACTCAGTCTAGCCACAGACTTGCTTTGAAATTATGGAATTCAACAAGAAATAAAAAGTAGTTATGAGTTATTTATCAAAGTCAAATCAAAGTGTCTCATTATGTTTGGTTCTGAATACAGCAGCTGCTCAATGAAAATACTGATAGCATGAAAGGGATGATTTTTATCATTTAATCTTAATGTACTCATCTTTTGTACGTGACAGTAATACTCTTCCATACAAATGAAAAGTACTTTTAAAGGTTCACTATGTAATTTTTCTCCAGCTTGTCTCCTTTGAGATAATATTGTTTGCCTAAAATGCTCCACATTGTGGCATTCAATTTATCTTTATTGCCTTTATTCTATTACAGCTCTTTCTATTGCCCAAAAATACCTTGAAAAACAGATCTGACCTATAACTTCTAGTCTGGCGGTATCATTTGTTGGTTTTCAGGAAAATAAATAAAGTTAAATGCCACACTGTGGAAAATTCTCATATCTATGAAGACAATCATGTTGCAAATCTCCAGAAAAGTATAGTGCATCTTAATGTAGTATTTACAAATGTTGTATTGGAACTACCCTGAGCTGTATTTAACATTAATCAAGATTAAGTCAAAGGTGCATTGTGTAACCTTTTTGGTGGAGGATCCTTCAAATATTTTTGTCCGTGGTGATGTTATTACTGTCTAGAATGCTTCACAGTATGATATTAAACCTTTTATCTTCATGGAGACCAATCCATACCTAGATACCAGTCAGATCTGTGGAGAGACAATGTCACTCACAGTCAGAATGCCTGTTTTTTCTATGTATTTGTAACCCTACGTTGGTAGCACTGTTGATAATAGCTCCAAATGTCTAAAGTGAGGGTTATCTAAATCTAGGTTCAATGAGGAGGTCGGTTGAAAATAGGTCAACTAGTTAATAAACTGATAGATTCCACCCCCAAAAGAAGCACACTACAACAGATTGGTGATTAAATGTAGAATTGATAATTATTATTCAGCTCTTTTGTCTATTCACAGTAAATTACAATAACACACAAAATATCTTTACACATTTGGCCAAACAACATCTGAGATCTCAAAATAAAATATTGTCCAATCCAAACAAAATTACCCCCTGAGTGCACTCAATTAGAAAAAATGTCCTACCGCCCCTTTAATACTCAGTGTCAGTACAATCGTTGCAGCGCTGTTAGTTGAGGAGGTGGACCAGGGAACCAGGCACCAGGGTGAACGAAGAGAAATCCAGCGTTGGTAGAACCAGGAATAGGACCAGGAATCAGGGAGAACCAGGGCTCAGAGCCAGACCCTCTAAACAACCAGTCTACAAAATGTACAGGAAATTACTACAACTGTCCATTTTTTCAGATTAACTGTACCCTTGTAAACACTGAACATAAACTAAAATTGGCCTTTAGCATACAAAATTTAAATTAGTTCTCCTTTTTAAAGTACAAATCATTTGATTTTCCAAAATTTTAAATTTACAATTCACCCCAACTGGTTTTATCAACAATAGGGCAGTAACACAACAGAAATTGACTCACCGGGATAACATGTACTTTTTCAAAGTTTTCTTCCAGTTCCAATGCAGTTCAAATATTCACAGAACCTTTAGGATATCATTAGTTAGTTTCAGGATTTAGTTAAATTACAAAATCTACATTTATTTCAATTTTACCTCTTGTGGTCTCAGTCTGTTTCTAAGTCTGTGCTGCTTAGCAAAATGGCCGCCAGCGGAAGCATTCCAGAAAGTTCTAAGTATTTCAGTGCACTGCCACCTAGTGGCAAAACTGGGGGTTGCGGTTAAATTCGGTTTGAAGTTAGATTTCATGTAGGGACTTTATTGGGCAAAATTAACAGGGTTACACCCTCCCCTCTAAACCGCATGAGTCTCTGCATGCGCTCTAAACCCTACAGGGCATCTGATGTTCAGGGATAATATCTTGGAGCTTCCCAAAAAACTGACTGAGGGCAAGGATTAGAGGTTTTCCCAACTCTTCATAGGTGAACTTGGATGGAGGATGCCTTTCTCTCAGTGAACGCCTGAGCTCACTTGGTTCCTCTCCAGCATTAGTCTCTGAGGTACTTTGAGAGATTTCAAGGTAGGTACTCTGAGCATTGTCTGATCCTTGAACTGTTGTTGTGTCTGTGACCACTGAATCTTGACATATGTCACTTTCGGGAATGTCTATGATAACATGGTCACCTTGAGGTGGAGATTGGTTCACAGCTCTTGTTGTATCGTGTGACGCAAGGGGTGAGACTGGGTTATCAGGACTGGTTTGGAGTTCTGAAGATCTGAACTCAATAGCCATGGGGTTCAAAGAAGACTGAGGGTCACTGGTGAGGAAGTACTTTCAAACTCTTGCACATAAGGTCCCCATGTCAAGGGCTGTAAAGGCTTACTCACATAGCTATCATATTCCTCATATTCCCCATATTCTTCATCTGAATTACCACAATCCGTATCCTGAGTCTCATGTTGGCTTCGTAAATGCATTTTATGTTGTTTACTTTGATGTGACTTTGGGTCAGGAGTAATCTCAACTGGCAAAAATCCACATGGTAATAGTAAGTCCCTGTGAAACGTGCGCTGAGGGCCTTTTCCTGTCTCAGGCTTGACTACATACACAGGACCACCATCAATCCGTCTCACAACAACATGAATTGTTCTTTCCCATTTATCAGCTAACTTGTGTTTTCCTCGGATGTTGACATTTCTCACTAAGACACGATCTCCTTCTGCCAACTCAGCCGTTTTCACTTTGGCATCAAATCTGAGTTTGTTCCTTTCACCGGACTTCCTGGAGTTCTCTGCAGCCAGTGCATAGCTTTCTTTGAGTCGCTGGCATAAGCTTTGGACATAATCTGAGTGTGTGGTATGGGTCTCGGTTGGAGGTTTCAAGCCAAGGATGAGATCAACTGGGAGAGTCGGCTGCCTGCCGAACATCAGCTCGTACGGTGAGTAGCCTGTCGAATCATTCCTCGTACAATTGTACGCATGTACAACGGGCTTCACAAAATCTCGCCAATGATGTTTATCCTTCTCCTCAAGAGTTCCGAGCATACTGATCAGGGTCCTGTTAAAGCGTTCCACAGGATTCCCCTGGGGATGGTACGGGGTGGTACGCACCTTGTCTGCTCCAATGAGTGAACACAGCTCCTTGATCGTGTGGGATTCAAAGTCGCATCCTTGATCACTATGAAGACGGTTTGGGAACCCATAGTAGATAAGGAAGTTTTCCCATAAAGCTTTAGCAATTGTTCTGGCCTTTTGATCTTTCGTGGGCACAGCCACTGCAAACCGGGTGAAATGGTCAGTGATGACTAATATGTTTCTGATGTCACGATTGTCAGGCTCTAGGGACAAGTAGTCCATGCAAACAGCTCTAGAGGGTAGGTTGTCTTAATATTTACCATGGGTGCTGCTCTCTGTGGCTGACTTTTCCTCCGGAAACATCGTTCGCATGTGTGACATTTCCTTTCAACTGACTCTTTCATCTTTGGCCAGTAACATCTGGCACGGGCAAGACTGAAAACGCGCTCTGGCCCTAGGTGTCCAACGTCATCATGAAAGCCTTTAAGAGCTCTTTCTCTGTACATCTCAGGTAAGATCAGCTGATGAATTTTGTCACCTCTGTCAAAATCTTTCCTGAAAAGAACACCATCAATGAGCTCAAGCCTATCCCATTCTCGAAGGAGCAACTTAACTTCAGGTGGCTCAGCCACTACAGCTTTGAAGTGAGGCTTTTGTCCTTGTTCCACTAGACCAATAACTCTCTGGATGGATGGATCATTTCTTTGTGCATTGTACCAGTTTTCCTTTGTCATTCCAGGTAAGGTGCTCTGCCCATTGCCTGTGAATAGTTCAGGTAAGGAAAAAGCATCAAGAAGAAGAGATTCAGCAAGGACAGGTAAGTACGTGGTTACTGAATGCCATTGACAAACAGCTGAGACTGCATCTTTTGGGATCTCCCCCTCTAGAAGGCGTTTTGTCATTGCCATTATCCGTTCCTTTTCCTCCAGGTAATCATGATCCTCTTGTGGAGCTGCCTGGGGTCTCCGTGACAACCCATCTGCATCACCATTGGTATTGCCTGCTCGATACTTGATGTTAAACTGGAAGGTCGAGAGAGCAGCTAGCCAGCGGTGTCCAGCTGCATCAAGCTTGGCGGATGAAAGGACATAAGTAAGGGGGTTGTTATCGGTTAGGACAGTAAAATCTGTACCACAGAGGTAATCACAAAACTTTTCACAGACCGCCCACTTTAATGCTAGAAACTCTAGCTTGTGAGTTGGGTAGTTCTTCTCACTCTTGGATAACCCTCTGCTGGCATAGGCAATCACTCTTAACTTCCCGTCCTGTTCCTGGTAAAGAGCTGCTCCCAGTCCTTCACAACAACCATCTGTATGAAGGACATATGGGAGTTTGGGGTTTGCAAATGCCAGTACAGGAGCAGATGTCAACTTTTCAATAAGAATCCTGAAAGAAGACTCACACTCGGGTGTCCACTCGGCACCGAAGGGTGTTCTGGGGCTGATACCAGGGTTTAGCCTTGGTGCTTTGTAGGTTTTACCCCTCTTCCTAGGTGGGTAGTATCCAGCAGTAAGTGTGTTGAGAGGCCGGGCAATCTTTGAGTAGCCCTCAACAAATCTTCTGTAATACCCCGCAAAACCGAGGAAGCGCTTCAACTCTTCCCTGTTGGCAGGGCAAGGCCAATCTTTCAGGGCGGAGACCTTATCCGGATCTGTGTGGACTCCTTGAGCATCAACAACATGGCCAAGGTATTTCATGGAAGATTTGAAAAACTGACACTTCTCCGGGGATAATTTTAGGCCATAGCTTTTTAAACAATTCAACACCTTCATGAGCCTGGCCTCATGCTCTTCGAGAGTCTGGGAAAAGACAATGACATCGTCTAAAAACACTAGAACTTTGCTCAGGTGGACGTCACCAACACACTTTTCCATAAGACGCTGGAAGGTGCTAGGTGCGTTGGTGACTCCTTGTGGCATACGATTAAATTCGTAGAAGCCCAAGGAACACGTGAAAGCAGTTTTGGCCTTATCTTCCTCTGCCATTTCCACCTGGTAGTAACCAGATTTTAAGTCCATCACTGAGAACCACCTTGCACCACTAAGAGCTGAAAATGTCTCCTCGATATTAGGAAGAGCGTAGGCATCTTTAATAGTGCGGCTATTAAGCTTCCTATAATCAATGCACAGCCTAATCTTTCCATTCTTCTTTTTTACAACAACCACTGGGGAAGCAAGGGGACTCTCAGACTCTCTTATAATGTCTGCATCCAGGAGTTCTCTGAGGTGTTGCCTAACAGCTTCTCGATCACTGGGGTGTATTGGCCTAGATCTTTCTTTGAAGGGCGTATCATCCTGCAGACGGATGTGATGTTTTACAGTGGCAGTATGGCCAAACGATAACTCATCCAGTGCAAACACCTCAGGAATGGAGTTCAACCTCTCTCTAATTCTTTCTTTCCACTCCTCAGGCATTGGGGAGTCGTCAAGGTTAAATGAATGGTTGCCATTGGATGATTGTGAACTACCTTCTGTAGTAGAGGCCAGGGGCATTATTCTCTGAACTACGGACACTTCACCAATGACACACTTTAGGGGCAGGGTGACATTGTGATCTGTAGTGTTACTGAGGACAACGGGAATCTTATTTGAGGCTCTTGTGTTAATGTTAATCAGTGCACTCTGAACGAACAGATCACCTGGCAAGAAGGAAGACTCAGGAGGTTCGACAACAAAGTTGGTGTTGAGATTGGCTTTCCCCACCCTAACATCTCCCAAAAGGCAGATTTTCTGTCTGGCCGGATTGGTTATGGACCTTTCTCCATGCAGCTTTACAGGGCAAGCTTTGGTTTCAGTTTTGTGCACCCGAGCTACATGCTGGAGCAGTGCTGCAAAACTGTCGGATCTTTTGAGAAATTTAGACTTGTCATGACTGACACCACGCTGGTACAGCTTGAGTAAAACATTTGTACCAATCAGCACTGGGACTTTGCTATTGAACTCATATTCAGGGACAATGAGTGCTAAAACAGGCCTTTGTTCCTCTGTTCCAGTAACATCTTCTGGGAATGTTAAGTGGGCTTCTACATACCCAAGGTATGGTACTGCTTGACCTCCAGCGCCTTCCACCTCAAGAAGGTTGTGTATTGAATGAATAGGTAAGTTTGACAAGTATTTGGAGTGGAAGGCCTCCGAAATCGTCGTTACTTGGGACCCAGTGTCAAGAATGGATTCACAATTTATGTCTCCATTTGAGATAGTTGAAGTGCACCGTGGGCCCACAAGTCCATGAGGTAGTCTGCAGTTTGGATCGTCATTGCTTTCAGAAGACCGTTCATTGGGTATCATTGCTATGGGACTTTTCTGCTCTCTGCCTCCAGCTCCTGATCGTCCCGTAGCAGGAGCCTCTAAAAGTTTAAAGGAGTCTGGCTGATTGCCTGCCCGGCCCAGAATTTATTTCGTTTTTCTTTGAGCTCCGCATTCTTTTTACGGACAAGGCTTGGATTTGGCTCAAAAGTGCAGTTTGCTGCAATGTGCCCATCACCCCCACATTTAAAACAGAACCAAGGCTTGGGTGGTGTTGGTGTTCGGGAATTTGAGTCTCTGTTTGAAGCTTGAGCGAGTAAACTTTCACTCTGAACAGGTTGTTCATTGTGGGCTGGGTGACTCTGCACCTCTTCATGTCTTTGCCCTTTCTTTCCTTGCTCTAATAGCTTTGCAACTTGTTTCCTCAACTCTGCTACTTCTTTCTCAAGTTTCAAATTTGTTTCATGTTTCCTTTCTGTTGCAGGGATGGGCTCATTTTCAATTACTGGCATACTCATGACTGAATGAACGTGTGCAGTGGCTCTTGAACTTCCAAGGTGCTTTTTCATACGATCCATTTTTGCTGCTCTCCTGTCTTCCTCTGCCCTCAAAAGCAGAAGCAACTCTGGGAACGTAGGGGGGTTGCTTTTCCTGTGCTCAAGCTGGAGACCAATGATGATGCTCTGGTCCCAACACCCTCTACAGAACTGTCGGAGTAAGTACCTGTCGGACTCAGCAGCTGAAACTCCCCCTCTAGATATGGCTTTTGTAATGAGGGTTTGGAGGCGGTTTAAATAGACTGAGGACTTTTCACCTGAATTTTGGTTAGAGCCCAGGAAAGTCGCAAAAAGCTCCTCTCCATCTTCTACTTCTCCAAAGGCTGACTCAAGTTGAGTGAGGTAAGCTTGGGGAGTTGCATTTGTTCCAAGTGGTTTGACAATATCCGCAGCTGGGCTGAGGAGGCTCTCCAGTATTCTCCTTACTTTCTGTGAATCAGAGAGGGACATGTCACTCAGAAGTAGATCCACTTGTGTACGCCAAGCATCATAATCAACCTCTCCATTTGGTTTTGGCAGCCGCCTAGAGAATGTGCGAATTCTACTTTGGCTGTAGCTAGAAGGTGTGGAATCACTGTGAATGAAATGTTCAACTATGACCTTTTGGATGTGAGGTGGGTTTATTGTACCTTCATCAAGAACAGGAATGCTTGGAGCAGCAGTGTGTGGAATGCTGCGGGTACCTGGATCAGGGACATTCGTTGTAGCATTGCTGGGCTGTTTTCCACTTTCTACATCACTATCAGTGGTAGAGGCAAAAACAGGCTGTTCAAAAGTCTCTAGCTGAGTGTCTGGGCTTTGAGGAGGGGCAAGGTCATGCTGTGCACTTTGCAGCTCGTTCTGGAGTACATCCCAAAACCCTGCTCTACTGATCCCTGTAAGGGAGCTCAATTCAGCTAAACATTTCTGAGCCATTTCTCGTCCAAGTTCCTCTTGACAAAGTTCACGAATGGTTCTGACACACCAGGTGACTGCGGAATTATTGGGACTGGGCAGGTTACCTAGCTGTGCTGGGTCAAGTCTGGAGATTGCGCGATCAGAGGAGTATTCAACAAGTACACGGCCTTGGGGCTGTTCTGGGTCACTGGGAATTTTAACAACTTTCTTAACGGTCCCATTAACTTTGAAGAAATCAGAGATTTCACTATCTGTATATGCTTCATCTATGCCCGTAACATAAAGACAACTGGGCCCATGTACATCAAATTGGTTACAAAGATCCATTTTGCAGCAAATGTCTACTTAATAAAGGTAATTTCTGCTTTTAGATAACTCAGTTTATAAACAAAGGGTTTATACCTTCTGTGCTCTTTAATGTGCGTGGAATCTGTATTTTTCACTGCACCAACCTCCTGGCTGGCTCGCCACGACTGTAACCCTACATTTAAAACACTGTTGATAATAGCTCCAAATGTCTAAAGTGAGGGTTATCTAAATCTAGGTTCAATGAGGAGGTCGGTTGAAAATAGGTCAACTAGTTAATAAACTGATAGATTCCACCCCCAAAAGAAGCACACTACAACAGATTGGTGATTAAATGTAGAATTGATAATTATTATTCAGCTCTTTTGTCTATTCACAGTAAATTACAATAACACACAACAATATCTTTACACATTTGGCCAAACAACATCTGAGATCTCAAAATAAAATATTGTCCAATCCAAACAAAATTACCCCCTGAGTGCACTCAATTAGAAAAAATGTCCTACCGCCCCTTTAATACTCAGTGTCAGTACAATCGTTGCAGCGCTGTTAGTTGAGGAGGTGGACCAGGGAACCAGGCACCAGGGTGAACGAAGAGAAATCCAGCGTTGGTAGAACCAGGAATAGGACCAGGAATCAGGGAGAACCAGGGCTCAGAGCCAGACCCTCTAAAAAAACAGTCTACAAAATGTACAGGAAATTACTACAACTGTCCATTTTTTCAGATTAACTGTACCCTTGTAAACACTGAACATAAACTAAAATTGGCCTTTAGCGTACAAAATTTAAATTAGTTCTCCTTTTTAAAGTACAAATCATTTGATTTTCCAAAATTTAAATTTACAATTCACCCCAACTGGTTTTATCAACAATAGGGCAGTAACACAACAGAAATTGACTCACCGGGATAACATGTACTTTTTCAAAGATTTCTTCCAGTTCCAATGCAGTTCAAATATTCACAGAACCTTTAGGATATCATTAGTTAGTTTCAGGATTTAGTTAAATTACAAAATCTACATTTATTTCAATTTTACCTCTTGTGGTCTCAGTCTGTTTCTAAGTCTGTGCTGCTTAGCAAAATGGCCGCCAGCGGAAGCATTCCAGAAAGTTCTAAGTATTTCAGTGCACTGCCACCTAGTGGCAAAACTGGGGGTTGCGGTTAAATTCGGTTTGAAGTTAGATTTCATGTAGGGACTTTATTGGGCAAAATTAACAGGGTTACATATTATTGAGCAAAAAAGCCATCTGTAACTGAATAAATGTAAGTTGTTTGTTTAATGTCACACTGTAGAACATTCCAGGCAGAGCAATGACATATCCATAGAAACAATCAGGTGAAGGAGCCCCATCCAAAAAGTTACATAGTGCACCTTTAAAACAATTAGTATAACTGATTCATAACATCTGGATGACAGCCTGTTTTAATGTGTCAATTTCACAGTGCACCTACCTGCAGCCAAAGCATAGCCCATGTTGCATCACACGGCTTGTCATGGCTGAGCAGAAAAATGAATTTGACATTGCTGCGATTTGGGCCCTCTGCTGTGTCATTGCTAAATGATAGGCTAAAGTGTTTTAAGCTTGTGTGAGGGGGCCGCCACTTTCACGTTTGGAGAAATAGATGGTGAATTCGGGCGGAAGCAGCGAGGCATTTTCCTTGAACATAATGATAATAAATGGGCCGGTGTCAGGCTCTTGTGTAAAGGTTTGAATCAATGTAGCGTGATTGTAAGTAGGGCGAAACTGGAGCAGGAATGAGAAATGTATATGGCCATACATTTTCTTCAGGGCAAAAAACTCTCAAAAGTGTCCAATCAAATCCATTTCCAATCAACAAGATAATTTATAAACGCCACACCAGCGGTGTGTGTTCTAGCCACTGTACTTATGGTAAAAAGTTGGCTAATAGTTACAGAAGTATTTACAATGGATATATGTACTTGAGTTGTTTTTCTTATTGTTATGATATACACATTAAAGCTATAGTTTGTTTTATTATTATTCATTCATCATTGTTCTCTCGTCCCAAGCTTATATAGAGAGGCTTTGCATGCAAGAAGGACATTTAGCTCAATTTATGACTGTTGGAGAATTACAATAGAGTAAGGTAGAATAGTACTTGTAGCAACAGAAGTAAGAGTAGTAAATGAGAGTAGTAAAATTATTAACAGTTTCTGAGTACATTTACATATCCAACTGCTAATTTGTATACCTAGAAGTGGTTAATCTGGTGTGTTTTCATTTCTATTTGTCTTATTCATGTTATTTTGCATGGCATTATTTTCCTGCTAATGTACATTTATTATCAATCAATCAAACTTTATTTGTATAGCACTTTTCATACATTTGAAATGTAGCACATTCCTAATAATAAACTCATTTATTATTATAACTTATTATTATTATTTATAGAATTACTTTTTAGTAGTATGCATAAGCATTAAAGGGCCCATTTGACACTATTTTCTGATCTGGCTTATAATGTTATCTCATCAAAAACATTGTAAGTAGGGCGAAACTGGAGCAGGAATGACAAATGTATATGGCCATACATTTTCTTCAGGGCAAAAAAACTCACAAAACTGTCCAATCAATTCCATTTCCAATCAACAAGATAATTTATAAATGTCACACCAGCGGTAGAATAGTAGTGTTCTAGCCACTGTACTTATGGTAAAAAGTTAATGTTATCTCATCAAAAACATACGAGTTGTGTTTTGTTTCATTTACACATGTTTAACACCAATCGTGCATGTTTAAGCTGTGTCCTTCTTTCAAACTGAAAACTCTCCACCTTGTGATGTCATGTGGTAATACAGGGAGTGCTCCGCTGTGTTTTCAAACTCCATGCACCTTCACTTGAATCATTCGGATATTTTCAGCCCTAGAATTGCCAATCTCTACTGAACTAAAGATAAAAGGCTGTTAGCTTGAAAACTACAGCTTCATGACATCACAAGGTGGAATAGAGCATTTTGAGCTTTGGAGATGCAGACAGACTAATAATAAAGGATTACTCATACATGTGTGAATGAAACAAAAACACAACGCCAGGTATGTTTTTGAGGAGGAAACAACATTCTAACATGAACTGACATGATAGTCAGTTTTGCGTAATATAGGACCTTTAATAGTGCAGACTACATTTCTTGTAGAACTAGCCTGTAACCCCATCCTTATTACAAAAGGCTATTAGGATTATAACTCATGTAGTAATATGTCCTAAGATCATTCTAACAAAGCCGTAATCAAGATTTTATTAATTTATTATTAGGAAAGTGTTAGTAAATGTCTGATTAGCAGCAGAATACATCATTATGAACCAAATAAATGAATCTTTGAAAATCAAATTAATAGGGGTGTAACAATAACCAAAAATATCGTATCGTCAAAAGTCTCTCAGTAATATTGTGGGCCATCACAATATATTGACTCACAACTTTCTTTGCTTAAATTCATTATTATGGTGCAGCAATATCTAAAAAAAAACATAGGGAACTACATTGACCATGATCCTTTTTTTTGTGCAAATTACATAAATAAATATCAATTCTAACCACTTTTAAATCTTAGTTCTTTGAATTAAGTCTTGTCAAGGCATTTTGAAAGGAAAATGTAGCATATTCACAATTTTGTTAGCCTCCACAAAATGTCACAGTAAACATCATACCGTGAGATGTATATCATGAAAATATCGTACTGTGAGATTTGGATATCGTTGCATCTCTACAAATTAACCATTAACAAACTGTACTCTATGAATAAAGAGTTACCAATATCATGATTTACTGTTTTTTGGCAGTTCAGCTCTTACCATCCATTTCAGTATCATATGACGCAAGAATCTTCAAACTGCCACTTCTAATCAACAAAGATCTTTTATCAATGTCAAAAAGGCCATACATTGTTTATATCCGTCTTCTTTCTCTACAGTGGAGCAGTGGAGGGATTTCAAAGGACCTATAGCCTATTTCCACATCTGTAGGGGTCCCTTGAGCTTGGCAGGACATGTCTGATTGGCTGAGAGAGTCCACAGCTTGTTTGAAGAGGCCTTAGATTCAGGTGCAGATAAACTGTGGACATTTAATAGAGGAGAATGAAGAGACGATGCTTATTATTGCGTCAGTAAACACACGTCTGTTTACT